TTCTAGTCATATACATAGTTTATACATTGATTATATACAATTATATACATATAATATATAAAGTATACATATATTATACCTCCACCGGTTATAGGGTTCTTTACATAAATAACCGTCCAAATTCATTATTTATTTTTCTAGCCATATGCATATTCTATACATTGATTAAGTACAATTATAAACATATAATATATAAATTATGCATGTATTATACATCCACCAACTATTTTTAGTTTAAGCAATTGGGTGAGCGTCTATTTAGGTTAATTCTTCAATATTTTTCTTCGTACAAAACTCACCATAATCAGCAAAAAAGACACTTAAAAATTAAGAATGTTCTAATTTTATATAAAAAATTGTGTCAAGAACTAATATCCGATAAATCAAAGATCTTTAATAGCATTACACACAAAAGATATTTAACTTATCAAAATATTGAAAGTACCCACTCACCTTTTGAAAGGTGCATGAAAGAATTAGATCATTCGTTTTAAGTTATGGCAAAATTATAAAACTTCCTTCAAGGCTAACACAATTCTTATTCCACTATAGTTATCATGTATTAATAAACCGACCATCTGTTAGGACTAGCCTTTTTTCAAAAACTTGAGTGATATGTACTAAAGAGGAAAAAAATTAGAAAGAAGAGAGATAAAAATAGTACTCCGATAAAGATTAATTTGGTACAACGCAAAAAATTTGTGCTGACATATAAAAGAACAAAAACACCAGACACGTAAAAAGTTATGGAACGATAAAAGTTTTTTTCTACTATTCTGTTAATTTAAAGACTTGCTAAAACTGCCATAAAACATTTATCGTTAATCAACGACTCCAATATCTAATTATAAAAATCAAATTTGTCATTCCATAGAGAGTTCTTGCTCATGAAGAGTGTGACGAAAAAGAGTTATTTGTAAGTCCACATAATTTAAAATACACTGAATACATATACAGCCCCTTAAACTTCTGGTGACCTATTAGACACTTAATCTCTACTTAAATTGTGCGGATTAGACACTACGAGCTGACATGACACACAATGTGACTTTCACCAAAGTTTAGCGCGTGAAGCTATTAAAAAAGCAGCTGACATGGATTTTAGAAGAATAAGACCTACCCTCTTCTTGTATTTATTTTTGGAACACCTTACTAATTATCTTTCCCAACCCAGAGATAACTATTCCGATAACTGTTGCCGGAAAATCTATTCCCTCCATTTCCGGCGTCTCTCAGAATGATGAAGGAGAAGAAAAGATATCCTAGATTATGTCGAAGAAAGACATGTCAGAATATTTGCTTATATGTTATCAAGAGATATTAGTTTAATTAATTATTTAGTGAAGTAAGATGTGGGCACGTTGCTCTCATCCAACAGTTAGTAAAAGGACCACATGTCAGTATCTAGAAGGTTGTAGTGAGGGTATGGGTGTAATAGCACTTTGTAAATATTTTCTTTTACATTTTTTTTATTTAGGAGTTAGTTACAAAAGTTGTTAGGGATAGAATTCCCTATGGTCTCGTGAGTGGCATCTGGAAACTTGTATTTATATTATATAAATACAAGCATATACTGTAGGGTAAGTTCTACGTATACACCTAACCAAGAGGTTGTTCAAAGAGGTCTCTTGCTCCATTGTATGATTCACTTAGTCCCATTAGAAATTGGATCAGTTTTTTATCCTCATTCACCTTATGATTATGTTCTTTAGCCCCACATTTACACTCACAAATTCAAGTCATGTAAGTGTTTAATTCTTTCATCTGATCCCAGATTTTCTTCAACTTATTGAAATAGCCTGCTACATCATAGGATCCTAGATTAATGTTGTTTAGTTCCCTCTATAGTTGGAATAACCTACTTAGGGAGTAAAGCAGCCATGACAACACCATGTCGTTGAATCTTTGCCAAAGCACCAACTGATTTGTATCTTTTGCAGGTATGGGACAAGTCCTATTGATAAACCCAAGTTTGTTTTTGGCAGATAAAGAAATCAGGACTCCCCTTCTCCAATTGCCGTAGCTTGTACCATCAAAAATGGAGTTTATGAGGTTCATTCCTGGGGAATCAGAGGAGGAGAGAAAATAAGGGTGGGATACATCGATTTGTGCTGAAGCAGTTTTGGGTGGTTGTTCTTCTCCCATCTTTTTTGTGTAGCAACTCAAAAAAAGAAGAAACTAGATAGAAAAAGATAGCTGGAAAACAAATGTCGAATGGTGAGATTAAAGCTTCTGATACCATGAAGGAAATCAAAGAGTAATGCATAAGAAATTTCTTGTATTCATTTTTATGTGTCAATGTACAGTATATGCTTGTGTTTACAACAACAACAACCCAGTATAATCCCACTAGTAGGGTTTGGGGAGGGTTGTGTGTACGCAGACCTTACCCCTACCCTGGGGTAGAGAGGCTATTTCCAAATGACCCTCGACATACTTCCCTCCAAGAACTCCCCACCTTGCTCTTGGGGTGACTCGAACTCACAACCTCTTGGTTGAAAGTGGAGAGTGCTTACCATCAGAGTAATCCACCTTGTCAAAGCTATTGCCCCTACAGAGCTCCTCGAAGAAACAGACTTAGGACATACAACATGACTCTGAACAGTAGACCTAACATTTGAATGAATATTAGAAACTGGAGTAGACACTAGATTATTCTTCAAAGGAACTGAAAATGCTGATTGTAGGATGTAGAATTCTGCTGTGAAATATTCTCCCTTAGCACATAGAGCCCTGCATTGGCATCACCAAAAACTAGATCCCTCTTCAGTGAAGGGACCTGTATAGCACAACCAAGTTAGGAGAAAATTAGTAAACAATCAAATTGATCACAAAGTTTATAAACTGACAACAAATTATGTTTAAAAGAAGGCACAAAAAGAACATTATGTAATTCAAGGATAGGGCTCAAGTAAAGACTTCCAACACAATAGACTTTTACTTTATATGAGTTAAGCAAGGTTACATATACTGATTGTTAGAATGTACTTGCCTTTAAGACTCTTCATGTAGTACTATAGAGTATGCCTGGGCTGCTATAGGTAGAGGCTTCATCATGAGTATGTTTTCTCTTGCTCTATTGTATGCTTCACTTAGTCCCATTAGGAATTGGATCAGTTTTGCTATACAGGTCTCTTACTGAAGAGGGATCTAGTTTTTGGTGATGCCAATGCAGGGCTCTATGTGCTAAGGGAGAACATTTCACAGCAGAATTCTACATTCTACGATCAGCATTTTCAGTTCCTTTGAAGAATAATCTAGTGTCTACTCCAGTTTCTAATATTCATTCAAATGTTAGGTCTACTGTTCAGAGTCATGTTGAGTGTCCTAAGTCTATTTCTTCAAGGACTTTGAGCCATAGTTCTTTGAGTCATGTTTGTTCTGAAATTTCAAATATCAATGAAAATGTTTCTATTCATACTGTTGTTGCTACTAAGAAATTATGGCATTGCATATTAGGTCACTTACCATATAATGCTATGAGAACTATTAAAGAACTGCCTATTACTTTCTCCGATAAAGAAGTATTCCCTTGTGATATATACCCTATGGCAAGACAATCCAGGCTCTCTTTTCCTATAAGTTCTATCACCACTAAACAATGCTTTGATCTTATACATATAGACACTTGGGGACCTTATAAAGTACCTACATACAAAGGGGAACGATATTTTCTAACCATAATGGATGATTTTTCACGAAGTACCTGGACATTTTTACTCAGTTCTAAGGCTAAATCCTTTCCCACTTTAAAAATCCTTTTTGGCCTTTAATGAGAGACAATTTAGTGCTAAAGTGAAGGTCATCAGATCAGACAACACATTTGAATTGGGTACAGGGAACATTCCCAAAATTCTTTTCTCCTCCCAAGGTATACTACATCAAACAACTTGTGTAGCTAGTCCCCAGCAGAATGGGGTAGCTGAAAAAAAACATTGACACCTCTTGGAAACTTGTAGGGCCCTTTTGTTCCAATCTCAGGCACCTAAGAAAGTCTGGGGAGATTGTATTCTAACAGCTACACACTTGATCAATCGATTTCCCTCTAGAGTATTGCAAAATAAAACACAATATCATGTTCTTTTTGGTACTCATCCTGATTACTCTTACCTTAGACCTTTTGGTTGTCTATGTTTTAGTTCTACTCTAGCAAGAAACAGGGATAAACTTACACCTAGAGTTGTTCCTGGGGTATTTTTAGGCTACCCTTTTTGAAAGAAAGGGTATAAGGTTCTTAATTTGCAAACTAATAAAGTATTTGTCTCTAGGGATATTAAGTTCTTTGAATCAATCTTTCCCTTTTCTTATTCTGCACCTATGATTAAGCTATTTCCTACTTCTTCCCCTCAGTCAAATGAGTCAGTCCCCCCATCTCAAGACATTATATCTTTTCCAACCACAAGCTCTATACCTGAATCTTTTTCTCTTATTCTCTCTTTTACTCCTGTTAGGTCTTCTACTACTTCTTCTAGTTCTAGTAGAGGATCTCCCGTGGTTTCTCCAGTTTCCTTCTTTAGTGCTCATTCCACCCCTGATATGTTCTCTCCAGCATAAGGGCAGGTATTGCGCATATCTCAAAGGGTTCACAATGCTCTTAAATATTTGTTTAATTACATATGTCATTCGGTTTATTCAGTTATTTTCCCTGATCCCCTTTTCATCCATTACATTCATTTTCTTTTTCTGCTTTATCCCAAGAGAACCAAGCCCTAATCAATTCCATTTGCCAAATACACGAGCCTAAATCTTACCGACAAGCAGTACTGCACCCTGGTTGGCAAGCTGTTATGGCAAAAGAATTTGAAGCGCTGGAGTCCAACCGCACATGGGATGTTGTTGAATTACCTCAGGGGAGGAAGGTCTTACCTTGCAAATGGGTATACAAGGTAAAATTCAAATCAGATGATACACTAGAAAGATTAAAAGCAAGGCTTGTAATTCGAGGAGATACATAGAGAGAGGGTTTAGACTACACCGAGAATTTTTTGCCAGTAGTTAAAATGCCAACTATCCGATGCCTCCTTTACTTTGCAGTTAAGCGTAATTGGCAACTTTATCAGCTCGATGTGAATAACGCTTTTCTCCATGGCGATTTAGCTGAGGAAGTCTATATACAATTTTCTCCGGGGATGACAACACCTTCATCTTTCATGGTTTGTCGTCTCCGCAAGTCATTGTATGGACTGAAACAGGCTTCTCGTCAGTGGTACGCACGTCTCTCCTGTGCATTGAGTACCGAGGGTTTTGTCTCTTACCTCAACGATTATTCTCTTCTCTTTAAAGCTTTCGGGGATCTTATTACTATTCTTGCCGTCTATGTTGACGACATCTTGATTACTGTCAACAAACTGCGGGAAATTAATGAAATTAAACATTTTTTGCACTGTGAATTCAAGATTAAGGACCTAGGTGAAGCTTCCTATTTCTTCGATCTGGAGCTTCTTTGTGAAAATGGTGGACTGGTAGTCACACAACGCAAATTTACAGTAGATTTACTTACTGAGTTTGAGTGTTTGGATGTTAGACCTGCTTCCATGCCTTTGGACCCAACTCTGAAGCTCACTTCTGCTTGTGGTTCTCCTCTCCCTGATCCAATTATTTATTGTCGGCTTGTGGGCAAGTTGAATTTCTTGACCAATACTCGCCCGGATTTGTCCTTCGCCGTTCAATATTTAAGTCAGTATATGCAAACCCCTTGTTCTTGGCATTATCACGCATCATTGCATACCCTACGTTATCTTTGCAAAGATCCTGGTTTGGGCCTTTTTATGATCTCTGATCACTCATTTCAGCTTTTGACTTTTTGTGATTCTGATTGGGCTTCTTGTTCCGACACTCGTCGTTCTGTGAGCGGATTCTTTCTCAGCTTAGGTGGTTCTCCAATTTTATGGAAATCTAAGAAACAACCTGTGGTTGCTCTTTCATCGGCCGAAGCCCAATATCATTCGGTACGTCGGTTGGTGGCTGAACTTCTTTGGGTCGTCCGACTTCTTCAAGATCTATCCGTCCCACCACCTTTGCCTGTGCCTATTGAATGTGACAATCAAGAGGCCATTCACATCGCTGAATATCTATTATTTCATGAACGAACCAAGCATATTGAGCTTGATTGTCACTTCATTCGTGAAAAATTATTGGATGGTTTAATCTCTCTGTCTTTTGTGCCCTCTTCATCTCAACTTGCAGATTTATTTACTAAAACGCTGAGTGGGCCTCTTCATCGATCCTTATTGGGCAAGTTGGGAGTCTGATCTGGGGTCTCCCACTTGAGGGTGGATGTTGCCGAAAAATCTATTCCCTCTATTTTCGGCGTCTCTCAGAATGAAGGAGAAGGAAAGATATCCTAGATTATGTCGAAGACAGACTTATGTCGGAATATTTGCTTCTATGTTATCAAGAGATATTAGTTTGATTAATTGTTTAGTGAAGTAAGATGTGGACACGTTGCTCTCATCCAATAGTTAGTAAAAGGACCACATGTTAGTATCTAGAAGGTTGTAGTGCGGGTATGGGTGTAATAGCACTTTGTAAATATTTTCTTTTACATTTTCTTTATTTAGGAGTTAGTTACAAAAGTTGTTAGGGATAGAATTCCCTATGGCCTCGTGAGTGGCATCTGGGAACTTGTATTTATATACACAAGCATATACTGTACATTGACACACAAAAATGAATACAAGAAACTTCTTATGCATTACTCTTTGATTTCCTTCAATAACCTCCCTACTTCGACGACACTCCTCCATTTTTTTAGACAACTTGCAGCTCCCACTCTCTCTCTTCTTCACACCACCTTTTTCTTTTCAACAAATACACATACACAAAGGACTCCTACTCTCTTATCTCTCCACTGTGAGATCCCTCAATTGGATCTTCACTCACTGAAATACCATTGTATACAGTCAAAATAGATTTCGACCTTCGTACGTTTGATCGAGTTCGAATGGTAAGCGATCGAAGTGAGAGCTCGAGACGAGTTTCGAGGATAGTACAAACAAGTCTCGAGCTCCAAGACTGATCGAGGAATCGACTAGGTATCATTATCAAGCCCATGAACAAATCCAACCGCAAGGCAACGTGAAGGTTGTCGGAGATGCACAGACCGATTGACACTCACCCCGAATGTCGAACTCGAACCAAGGCCGAGGGCTTGACCTAATATCGAGCTCGAGCCAGTATCGAGCTCGCAGACAAGAGCCGTTGCAACCACACTAGGGGAGAGAATCTTGGCAGAAATCGAGGAAGAGACAATTCATCACGGGTTCTCCACTATATATTTTTTATTATAAATAAAGTAAGATCCCTCTACTATAAAAGGGGAATCCTTGTAAGCACAAAAGGTTCAGACATTGTAAGAAAAGACTACTTCTATTTATTGAAGAATAAATCCCTTGAGCTTGTTTTACTCAGTATACTCACTCTTCTTGTTCAATAATTTATATCCCGTTTCTACAGCCAAGAATCTAAACATTTCCACTTCTACGTACGATTTAAGTCAAGCTATATCACATATCCTTAGAACTACTTATAAATTCAACTATATCCGATTTTTCGGGTAAACAGTTTGGCGCCCACCGTGGGGTTAAGGGTAACAGTGGTCGTTTGATACAAATCTGCAATACACACCATTTTACAACTCCGAATCAGCAATGGCAAACCCTCGATTCATGGCTTTACCTATCGACCACGAAGCCGACCTTTAGGATGAAACCAACAACTTGATACCAAGGACCGGAAGGCCACTTAACGATGTCACTGAAGCTCGAGTCGAAGTACCTGAAATTCGAGTCGAAGTACCGTTAGATGTCAATTCACAAGTGGCTCTTGAGGCGAACCAACGCTCCAAATCGGAAAAAAGCATTCAGGGCGGTACTCGATCCGTAGCTCGAGACGCCCATAACGTGGAGGAGATCGGAGTCAGCTTACGGATGATCTTTGAGATATTACAAGCCTAGCAAATAGCGATAGCTCAGTTGCAGAGCCAAACTTACATACAAAGCAGGTCGGATCCCAATCCGCTTCGAGAAATCACCTACATAACGGAGCCAGCCATAGTGAAGTCAAATGAGCAAGAATCGTGAACTACTCCCGAAATTACTAAATTGCTCGAGGAACTCACAAAACGAGTTGAAGCCAACGATAAAAAAGTAGAAACATATAATTCCAAGGTCGATCAGATCCCGGGGGCTCCACCAATGATAAAAGGACTGGATTCGAAGAAATTCATCCAAAAGCCTTTTTCCTCGAGTGCAACCCCAAAACCAATCCCCAAAAAATTTCGTATGCCCGAAATTCCCAAATATAATGGTACGACCAATCCTAACGAACATGTCACCTCTTACACGTGTGCCATCAAGGGTAACGATTTGGAAGACGACGAGATCGAATCCGTGTTATTGAAAAAATTCGGAGAGACCCTCTCGAAGGGAGCGATGATTTGGTATCATAATTTGCCACCAAATTCCATCGATTCTTTTGCCATATTAGTGGATTCATTTGTAAAGGCACATGCTGGTGACATAAAGGTTGCAATAAGGAAATCAGACCTCTTTAAAGTAAAGCAAAGGGGTAATGAAATGTTGAGGGAGTTCGTGTCCCGATTTCAAATGGAACGCATGGAATTGCCACCGGTTATAGACGACTGGGCCGTCCAAGCTTTCACCCAAGGGTTGAACGAGCAAAGTTCAATAGCATCACGTCAGATGAAGCAAAATTTGATCGAGTATCCAGCAATAACTTGGGCGGATGTACACAACCAATATCAGTCAAACATCAGGGTCGAAGACGACCAGTTGGGAGCTCCTTCCGGATCCATGCATCAGAACAAGACAGCTATTAGAAACTAGAGAGATATCGACATATAGAAAAGGTAGAACAGAGACCGATATCAACCGTACGTCGCAAATCGAATGAACAACGACTCAGCATGCAATTCCGCTCGGAACAATCAAAGGAGTGATCGAGGACAAAATTCTTGGGGGCTTATGAGCAAGAGTGGCTTCGATAAATATGGCGATCCTATAGAGGCATCTCGGCTATCGGAGTACAATTTCAGCCTCGACGCATCGGGCATTGTATCGGCGATCAGAAGAATCAAAGATACTAGGTGGCCCAGACCCATGCAAACCGACCCTTCACAAAGGAATCCGAATTCGATGTGCAAGTATCATGCTATGCATGGCCACAGAACAGAGGATTGTAGATAATTAAGAGAAGAAGTAGCCCGCGTATTCGATGAGGGCCACCTTCGAGAGTTCCTCAGTGACCGAGCCAAGAATCACTTCAGAGAAAGGGATGCCAGCAAAAAAAATAAACAAGAGGAACCTCTGCATATCATTCATATGATCATCGGTGGGGTCGATACTCCACAAGGACCCGTGCTCAAGTATGGTAAGATACCGACCACAGGGGAAAAACGAACTCGAAGTTATGTACCCGAGGGCACTTTGTCATTCGGAATTGAAGAAGCCGAGGGAATCTCTCAATCTCACAACGACGCTCTGGTAATTTCTATCCTATTAAATAAAGCTCAAGTTAAGCTGTTTTAGTGGATCCAGGTAGCTCTACGAATATCATCCGATCTTGGGTGGTAGAGCAGCTCGGTTTGCAGAATCAAGTCGTGCCCGCAACTCGGGTCTTGAATGATTTCAATATGGCCAGTGAAACGACTAAAGGGGAGATTACTCTACCAGTGAATGTAGCTGGAACCATCCAAAATACCAAATTCCACGTAATCGAAGGGGATATGAAATACAATGCCCTACTCGGAAGGCCTTGGATCCACAATATGAAGGCAGTGCCTTCGACCCTCCACCAAGTAATGAAATTCCATACGTCAGATGGCATGAAAACAGTATACGGGGAGCAACATATTGCGAAGGAAATGTTTGCGGTCGATGAGGTAACACCGATACCAACGCTATCGGCCTCGAAAATATCGAGAACTAAAGATAGACGAGAAACCAAATAGCAATCACAGCCACCAGTCTCGACCAAACCAGTGGAACAGGAAATAGAGGATGACGAGGAAGAGTTTCTGACACCTCGAGCTTTCATCATCCCCGATGACTCCGACGCCACCAAATCTACGATCGAAGAACTGGAGAAGGTTATACTAATCGAATATCTGCCCAAGAGAAAGGTATACCTGGGAACGGGATTGACCCCCGAACTCAGGGAAAAACTTATTCAATTTCTGATCGATAACATAGACTATTTTGCTTGGTCCCATTTAGACATGGCAAGGATCCCACCGTCGATAACAACGCACCAGCTGAGCTTGGACCCTAGGTTCAAACCGGTAAAGCAAAAAAGAAGACCTCAGTCCGATGTAAAACACGCATTTGTGAAGGATGAGGTAACTAAACTTCTCAAAATAGGGTCAATTCGGGAAGTACAATATCCCGAGTGGTTAGCCAACGTAGTTGTAGTCCCTAAAAAGGGGAACAAACTTAGAATGTGCGTAGATTATAAAGATCTAAAAAAAGCATGCCCTAAAGATTCTTTTCCACTACCTAGCATCGATCGCATGATCGATGCCACAGCCGGCCACGAGATCCTTACTTTTCTCGACGCCTACTCCGGGTACAATCAAATTCGAATGAACCCGGAGGACCAGAAAAAGACTTTATTTATCACCAAGTACGGAACCTATTGCTATAATGTAATGCCATTCGGGCTAAAAAATGCAGGTGCTACTTACCAACGCCTAGTGAATAAAATGTTTGAAGAACAAATAGGTAAGGCAATGGAAGTTTACATTGATGACATGCAAGTTAAGTCCCTGCGTGCAGAGGACCATTTGACCCATTTGGAGGAAACGTTCAAGATCTTAAGGAAATACAACATGAAGCTCAACCCCGAGAAATGTGCTTTCGGGGTTGGATCGGGCAAGTTCCTTGGTTTCATGGTATCGAATCGGGGAATCGAGATCAACCCCGACAAAATTAAGGCCATCGAAGACATCACCGTCGTGGATAGGATGAAAGCAGTGCAAAGGCTGATTGGGCGGATAGCTTCCTTAGGCCGATTCTTTTCGAGGTCATCAGATCGAAGCAACAAATTCTTCTCTCTACTCAAAAGGAAGAACGATTTCGCCTGGACCCCGGAATGCCAACATGCACTAGAACAATTGAAGCGGTACCTATCGAGCCCACAACTACTTCACACTCCGAGGATAGATGAGAAGCTTTACTTATACTTGGCGGTATCGGAAATCACACTAAGTGGCGTCCTAATTCGAGAAGAGCAA